ATCAAGGGGGATCTTAACCATCAATAAATCTTCACTATCACCCATTTCGAAAAAAAAAACACTCGCCATAGTGGAACTTAGGGTTGGGAGACTCCAAAATGGAAATATTTAAATCAAACCATCGGGACGTCCTCTTTTAGCATGCTTAGGTAAGGTCTTCGAAGGTTGACCCACTGATGAAAATTGAGGCTATAGCTTCAGAATGAAGACGGGTTTGGAGCATGACCTGTTCGAAAGCAGGCGGTTGGGAATAAGAAGAACAGATCAGATCTGAGAAGCATGTTATCATTTTCTACACCTACGTAACAAACTTCCGAACGGAAATTTCATGATATGTGGCCCGATATTACCGCCAAGAAAAAGGGATTGGTTGGAGTCATAAGACGAAGCTATGGAATGTAAGGTGCAGGTGACGCCATTTAAAAAGTATGTATACAAGTGGGTAGCACACCAGATGACAATTTCCGCTGAATTTTTATGATTGCTGAACAAAAGTTCCTGCAATAAGCTATAGGGAAAATTAGGCACTTCGCAAAAGTATCCGAATGAAAATAGTGAAAGCAGAGGCTGCTCCTGCTCTAACGCCTATTTAAAGATCTCAGAACTACGGTACAATCAAGGCGAGGGGTTAATTTACGAAAAGTAGCCATAAAAGTCCAACTAGCATTTTAAAATTGGTGAAACTCCTCGAAACTGGTATCAAAATGATCACAAGCCCATGCTCCTCTCTAATATGCTGGAAATTGTGGCTTTGGAGCAATTCTTTCCGAAGTACCACTTTGACTGGGAGGCTTACTACAGTGTCATTTCCGCAGGTATTGCCATTGGCAAGCAGAGACTCAACCTTCGGTTTCCATAAAAACGAAGTAGAAGACTTGAAGATTGACAGTATATGTACCAGTGCGCGTCAATTGCTTATGCCACCCCCTGATTTTTTCAGTTTTCTGACTTGTTTGGAAATTTCGTAAATCGGCATAGCAACCATCGTTTTCGGCGTGTCGGAAAACTAAGAATGGTGTTGTTTGATTTTGGTTAACGCGTGGATTTAAATTGCTCTGTTCTTTTGAAGAAAATGGGCCGCGTCAATTGCTTATGCCATCCAAAAAATTTCTAACTAACTAGTTCGAAATGTTAACCCTTGTACTAGACGGTAGCAGCACAAAAGTTTTATCAGATGAAGAGCTGTGATCTCATCGCCTTTGCTGCTTATTATAGAAGTTATCGAGGAATTAAAGGAGGATTGCACGGAAAGAACGAAGGTCGAAGAAGGGAGAAATCGCCTAGTGGGGAGAGCGGTGAATCTCCTTGAGGGTGCGGACTGACGCGCAATTCGGCATCGAAAAATTTGACCTCGGCGACCTAGCATGGCTCAAAGTTGGCGGTTGGCGATCTCCGCCCACCGATCATCTGATCACTCGCCGTAGTTCTATACGTGGCGAGTGATTAGATAGCTGAGAGAGCGTAGTGTTGAAGAGGGCACAGCGATGAGAGTCGCATCAATGCTCAAATCAACGGGCAAGGAAGGGGTCCCATTTCTCGGGTTCTGGGCCGTTTCTCATGGGTTTCCTTCTTCTGTACCACTCACCATCCCTAGGTTAATTTGAAATGGGTTGCTTTTTCATCGTGAATTCGTCCTTTAACTTGAAAATGTATAATTATACCGTCTCAAGTTATTTCAAATTCACATTCACAAATTCACCTTAGATTCGTTCAACCTGCATTTTGTCGGAGCCCGCGAACACGAAGTTCACTGATCGCAGAGCCTTTTCGAGGAATATCCGTGCCACGCCGTCTTTACCATCGCGACTGATCGGATTTCTTCTGGGAAAATTTTCATAACAAAGGACGCGAAAAATGACATGGAGTCATGCACCTTAACGACCACCGATGTGCAGCTCATGCACCGCCTTTATCAGAAAACCTCATCGGAGTAGCGATGCGTACATCACTACTAAGTAGATCATTTCCTCCTGGCAAGATTTCTGACGTGACGCATAGCCTGCGACTCGACCACAAAATGTGGGAATACGGATCTAATCGTCCATAAATATGAATTAACACTTGAGCACATAATCTAATACTTGCGCTGATCCTCAGTCGTCGATTCATATCAGGAGCATCAGAAGCGGAGGGCAAAAGAAGGCGCAACACTTTTATGTACAGAACGCTTTCTTCCGCCTACCGTCCAGTAAAAGGCGTTCCAACATTACAAACTAGTACATTACATGCTCCACCACTTTATGTGCTTTGTACAGTGGAAATCCATCATTTATATGACATCACACTGCTGATAGTAGGCGTCCAACATGAGAAATTCCAGAAATATTTAGGATGGCATAAGCAATTGACGCGGCCCATTTTCTTCAAAAGAACAGAGCAATTCAAATCCACGCGTTAACCAAAATCAAACAACACCATTCCTAGTTTTCCGACACGCCGAAAACGATGGTTGCTATGCCGATTTACGAAATTTCCAAATAAGTCAGAAAACTGAAAAAATTGCTTAATCAATTGACCACATGTTGCATTATGAGCAACTGTATCATTATTTCACGTTATCTAAACCCGATGGACTAATTTCTGAATAGTGGACACTCCAGCAGTCACGGCAAACGAGGGTCTGTACCGAAAGTGGTACACATTCGCGACTGAACAAAAATTCATGGCGTTTAGCCTACACTGCTGACAGTTCTCGTACCATGGCTCGGAGCTGTAGGACGCATAGAATGAATTGTGTATAGCACCCAATACTAGGACCACCATTGATAAAAACTATCACTCCGGAATTCTAGAGTAATTCCACTGCCTCTACTGTGGACTAATACTTCCACCGCTTCCAGACTGATCCTAACAGCAGAACATAAATTTATTCTCATGAACTGAAAGTTGCGCTGAGGAGGTCCCAAAATTTCAGATCAAACGAAAGGGTGTCAGCTGGGCTCAGAAGAATATTCTGAAGAATCAAGGTTCTTCGAAGCACAGAAGTTCACAGAAGAAGTTCAATACTGTTCAAGACACATAGCCAACCGATGCCCTATAATGCACTCTGATATTCAAAGAAACAACTTCCAATATGAAAGAACAAATTTATTGAGGCTAATCGTTTGAAACTCAAAAAATCGCATTTCCAAAAAACTGTATAGCATCCTCGAGTAAAAATACCAACGGAGCGACCCCTTGTTTGCAATCTGAACATCCGGACAAGCCTAATTACTTTTTTGAAAGCACAGATGTTAGAGAATTCAAGGAAGCTGCAGATTTACAAGAGGATAATCGAAAAGAAAGTAGGGAACCATACGACCGCAAAAGCGCATCTTCAAAAAATAAGCTTGCAGAACCCGAAAATTCATCAAGTGACCATTGTGCAGAAGTAAGTGTTTAAATTGGATTCATTAACTGTTAAAAGACAGCACTTTTCACCAATTCTACATAATTGCAATTATTTGATGTTAAGAAATTTTCAATCGTTCAGATTTGGAATCACATCAACTAAGATCAAATTCAACAATAATGAGCATCGGAAAGCCTTTAGTCCAAGGGTGACTTTTCGAGGAAGCTAGAGCTGTACTTTTCGGAAAACAAGCAATTTGGACTCATGTCTTCTCCGAATGTAATTTTTCACAGCATAAACTTATAAAGGAATCGTAAGCCAATGACTTGGAAGAACCCTTGAAATGAAAAATCGTTATTTTTTTGATCCGCAGTTTCCTTAACTGCCTTTTTATATAAAGTAAGCTCCCAGTATCAGTGGATTCGCCTATCTTAGTGGCCACAATAATTCCATGACTCAAACATAAGCAACCAGGGACGAGAGCAAACTATCCTCAACTTGTAATTAGAGGTGGTGATTAAGGACCCTTATCATGTAATACGGGGTCAGACAACCGCGTACTGACCCTAGAGCGAACCACGAACTTCCCTAAATTATTTGAGAAGTACAGAATAACAACAACAATAGAACACTTTGAACAGCATTTTCAAGGAAAAAGCGAAGCATTTTTCAATTGGGTTTTGACTACTGTAAGTGGAAGAATGTTCCTGACTTCGTTGAAATCGCGTTCAACAGAAGGATGTTCTCTGATAACGAAGTTAGAAGAAGGCCGTGGTTGGTAACGGATGGGCAGCTGAGACCGGACAGCCCCGGAAAGTCTTGCTACTGTATGGTGAAGCAGTATAAGAACTGGCTCACTATGGAGAGCTGATTGTGGTCACATAGTTACAGCTGAATCCTACGCACAAGGCTAGTGTGCGTGGACCGAGCTCTGCGTAGAAGGTACATTCGGACCAATGAAAACTTGTGGCACGATAATGCAAGACCACATGTCGCGAAAATCTTGCAACAAGAAATCGAGGAGTTGGGCTGGGACGCTCCGCCTCTCCTTCATATAGCTCAGACCTGGCGCCGACCGACAATCAGTAACCCAGGTCAATGCAACACTCCTTCAAGTAGATTCAAAAACCGCGAGGACGTCGTCGATTAAAAACGACTGTTCAAACGAAGCCATCCTAATTGAGCCTTGTGCGACACTGTTTAAACTTAACTATGTGCGCCGAACAAATTACAGAATTGGGACACCTCGACTCCATCTGTGATTAACTGACAGAGCACAGCTAAAAGGAAGGTCAAAATTGCCAGACTATGCAGTCTTTACACATGAACATAAATTACTAATAGCTGTGATGAGTTGATCGTTTTTACAGATCTACACGAGGGTGCCCTGTATGAGACAATGATCCCAACTTCCAGAGAGCAAAACCAATATCGCATGGTAGTATTTCATGAGAACTCCCGTTAGCTGAGCGAGGATATTGACCGAAGCTGAGTGAGATCATGCCTTGCGAAGTCCCTTACCTCTTTTTAAAAACTCTTATCTGCTCGAAATCTGACACTTCTTGCAGAAGTAATCGTCGGTAACTCCGCCATGGACGGTCCCAAGCCCGTCTGGGAAAGGAGGAGGGTTGGCCCGCTACCGACGGGCTGTAAAACTAGGTAAGAAACCATGGAGTGTCATTATAGCAATAACGACAAAGCTACCGCATCCGGGGGAGCCGATGCGCCAATACCGAGGAGCCAGGGTATTGGTGGAAAGACATTGACTGGCCAAAAAAAGGAAATCCCACGACTCCTTACACCTAAGTCGAAACTGCGACTTGGATCGTGGAACGTGCGGACCGCCTTTCACTGCGGTCAGAAAGAAATCATCGCAAGGGAGTTGAGCAAGTGCCGGGTTACTGTTGCAGCTTTATCCGAACTGAGGATCAGCGGCTGTGGAACGACAAGAGTGCAGGTTCCTGCTACGGACGATTGGATGACACTGTACTACTCTGGCGGTCAAGAACATCGTGATGGTGTTGGGTTCATGCTCAATAGCCACGCATCAAAATGCGTCGTGTCGTTTCAACCCATCTCGCCGAGAATAGCAGTGATCACTTTGGGCGGAACCGTCAAGTCGCACATAGTGAGCGTATACGCTCCGACGGAACCGAGCGACGACGGTATGAAGGACGAATTCTATATGCAGCTCCAAGACGTGCTGGACAGCATTCCCAGAAGAGATCTCGTTATCGTCACAGGCGATCTGAACGCTAGAACTGGCGCCGACAGAACCGGATGGGAACCTGTGATGGGCCGATTTGGCGTAGGAGAAATGAACAACAATGGTTTGCGGCTGCTTTCGTTTGCCACGTTCAATGATCTGGTCATCGGCAATAGCCTATACCAGCATGCACGAAAGCATCAGCTGACATGGAGAAATCCATCTGGTCACGATTCAGCAGCAGTCCTGGACCTCCGTACTAAATCAATTCCAGCAATCCTCCATCCCCGATACGATGCTGCAACTGAAGAAGGCCCGATTGCGTCTCAGATCACACCTACTACGACATCAGTGCAGCTGCCGCCTAAAGTGTGCTAAGCGAGTAAACCGCAACGATAAGTAACTCGAGCAACTAGAGCCTGGCATGTCGAAACCCCCGGCACACCCAAATTGCACTGTCAAATCAGTTTGCTGCGTTCACGGAAGTGGGAACGGTGGACGAGGAAGAACGGCAGACTGCAAAAGTCATTACCGAATGTGCTACACAACTGTGCCCAGTTTTGCGCCGACGGACTAAACCATGGATCTCGGACGAAACATTGCAGTTGGTTGACAAAAGGAGGAAGGTGAAGCTGACGAATGGCACTACGTATCAGCTACTCAGTAAGGAGCTCCGCAAGAGACTAAAAACAGAAAGGGAGGCCTACTGGAACGCAGTAGCGGAGGAGCTCGAAGAATCGGCATCCAAACACGAGTATCGCATGCCGTATCAAATTCTGAGAAGACTGTGCGGCAAAACCAGAGCATGCGGAACCTTCATCAAAGACGCAAGTGGCAAACTCGTGAAGTCAGAGAGGGAACGCTTACAGAGATGGAGAGAGTTCTTCATAGAGCTGTACAGCCACGAACTGCCCACAGAACCGTTTCCAGAGCCAGTACCGATAGAGATGCCACAGGAACCAACACACGAGGCGGCGCCAAGTATGGAGGAAGTGAGGGCGGCGGTGATGTCGCTGAAGAACAGGAAAGCGGCTGGTGTAGACAATGTCACAGCAGAAGCGATTAAGGCAGGAGGAGAAGTATTGGTACAACGGCTCCACCGTCTTATGTGTCGCGTCTGGCAGACGGAGGTTGTTCCTACGACGTGGAAACGCTCCATCATCGTGCCAATACACAAGAAAGGCGACATAACGGAATGCAAGAACTATCGCGGCATATCACTCCTGTCAGTCGTCGGGAAGGTTTTCACAAAGATCATCAACGCAAGACTTCAGCTTCATCGAAGAAGCTTATGCCGACCGGAGCAAGCGGGTTTTTGCCCTGGCCGTGGGTGCAGTGACCAGATCTTCGCGCTGAGGCAACTACTGGAAGAACGTATTCGTTGCGGCAAAAGGGTTGTGGTTGTTTTCATAGATTTCAGAGCTGCATTCGATAGCGTCCACTGGCCAGCGCTATGGAAAGCCCTAGAGTGTGAACATGTTCCGGACAAAATTGTGAGGCTGTTGCGGGAGGCGTACAATGGAACTGTCAGCTGTATCCGCGTCAAGGATGACGTCTCTGAAGAATTTCCTGTAAGTGCTGGTGTTCGTCAGGGTGACGTGATCTCCCCTACGTTGTTCAACGTGGTAATGGACGCTGTCATGAGGAAAACTTTCAACGGAAGGCAAGGCGTGCAGTACGGTGAAGGCGGCTTTCTCACTGACCTGATGTTTGCCGACGACAGCGCAATTTTCGCCGAAACTGACGAGGAAGCGACTAACATCATGTGCTCACTGTCAGAGATTGCCCAGTCGTATGGCCTCAAAATAAACGCGGAAAAGACCAAGGTGATGACCTCGGATGGATCGCCCGCGTCCGTGCGACTGGGTAGCGTCGCCTTGGAGCAAGTGAGTAATTTCAAGTACCTTGGATCGGTCGTTCAAGAAAGGAAAGTTACCGAGGCTAGGCCCAGCTAAAGGTCAGCGTCTAAGACATTTCAGCGTAAAGTGGTTCCTGGAGCAAGAGTACATAATCACTGAACCACCCATTCGCAATTTCCGGCACGCTTGGGCTCCCTTCTCTCTATGGGTCTAGACATTGGACGTTGCTCAGCGGATCTCTCCATCTCGAGTGTTCAAAGCCGTGTCTCGCGCCATATCTCGGGATCAGGCTTCGTGACCATGTCACGAACAACGCCATCAGGGAGAAGTTTGAAGATCAACCCACAATCGAGGAACAATTGAAACTGCGACGGCTACGATGGTTCGGTCACCTGTGCAGGATGGGTCACGACAGAATACCTAATATGCTCCTGTGGAGAGAAGACGCCCTGCGCAGTGGAAAGTTCAGAGGACGGCTCCAAAAAAGACTTGGTTGAAGCAAGTTGAGGAAGACCTTAGGGCTCTGAGGTGCAGTGTTGAGCATGCTAGATGTATTGCTGCTAATCGACCAGAATGGAGACACTTCATTCAGGGCGTTCGTACTCCAATGGCACCCACAGCAGTGTACTGGTTGAGAGGCCGGCCCCCACCACCAGACGCAAGCTAAGGGATAAGTAATAACTTCGTAAGCTTTGTAACTGAAATTGTCCCGCAAAGCAAAGCCGAGAGTAATTTTCACATAGGGTGAAACATCCAGCCACAAAAAGGCGCCACGTGGAAACATTCGCCAGAGAAGGAAGAATGGGAAAAACTAGTATTTCTGAATGATCGGGCCCGGATGTTCCACCCTATGTGAAAATTATTCTCAGCTTTGCTTTGCGGGACACTTTTGGATACAAAGCAACAGCTGGATGAAATGCGCAAATTGATCGTCACCCTTGTCGAGGAAAACAGTAAGCTCAGGGCAAAGTAAACTCGATCAATGGTAGACCACCCTCTCTTAAGGTGATCCCGCCCACTCTAATTTTCAACACTGGGCGTCAAACGGCCTGCCGCGACTACGATTCGTCTGACCAAGCGGCGAAATACTTGCGTATGGCCTTACCCGAAGAATGAAGATTCCAAGATGCCATCAGTCTGACAACAAAACCCCGTCTCAACCACATCATATGTATTGGCTCGTGAGATTTCTTAACAAATGTTGAATTCTGATAGTACTGCTCATGGCGTCATGTATAATGCTCAGTGTGCAAGTGTACCCCCGGAAAACGATCGAAGCCTTTGCGATCGTCTCCTTTTAAAATAAGGGAGCTTCGACCAATATAAGATAGGTGTAATAAAAATGCTGCACGTCGCTGTAACTTCGTATAATGTATGCTATACGAAGTTATTACCTGACTAAACATGCGCTTTCAACGCAGCTATCGCTGATACTGAGTTAGGTCAGCGCAGTGTCAGATTTCGTAGGCAATGATATAGTTTAAAAGAGATAGAGGACCTTCGGTCAATATCCTCGCTCAGCTAACGGGAGTTCTCATGAAATACTACCATGCGATATTTGGTTTTGCTCTCTGGAAGTTGGGATCATTGTCTCATACAGGGCACCCTCGTGTAGATCTGTAAAAACGATCAACTCATCACAGCTATTTAGAATATGTTCATGTGTAAAGACTGCATAGTCTGGCAATTTTGACCTTCCTTTTAGCTGTGCTCTGTCAGTTAATCACAGATGGAGTCGAGATGTCCCAATTCTGTAATTTGTTCGGCGCACATAGTTAAGTTTAAACAGTGTCGCACAGGGCTCAATTAGGATGGCCTTCGACTAACAGTCGTTTTTAATCGACGACGTCCTCGCGGTTTTTGAATCTACTTGAAGGAGTGTTGCATTGACCTGGGTTACTGATTGTCGGTCGGCGCCAGGTCTGAGCTTATGAAGGGGAGGCGGAGCGTCCCAGCCCAATTCCTCGATTTCTAGTTGCAAGATTTTTGCGGAACGTGGTCTACCCTAACTGTTCCACAATTCATTGTCGGTCTGTCGGCGCTCTATAAGCAAGTCTCGGCCCACGCACAACTAGCCTTTCGGTGCGTAGGAGGCAGCTGTAACGTAGTGACCCACAATAACCGTCATACTTGAGCAGATTATACTGCCTTCCCACACAGTAAGCAATCACTTCCAGGGTTTCCGCTCAGCGTCCGTTACCAACCACGGCCGTCTTCTAACTTCGTTATCAGAGAACATGCTTCTGTTGAACGCGATTTCAACGAAGTCAGGAGCTTTCTTCCATTACAGTAGTCAAAACCCAATTGAAAAATGCTTTGATTTTTCCTCGCGAAAATGCTGTTCAAAGTGTTGCAATGACTTTTGAGCATTTGGTTCACCTGGCTTTTACTAGAAGGCATTGAAACTGACGCAATATCAAGATTAAACGATTGGAACAACATACTTCTTTGAACCTCTAACTTTTCATGATGTTCGACTGTGAAATTTCGTTCCAATTAAATTTTTTGCGGGGTGTGTTCCTTATCCAATTTCCACAAGCAAAGTGATAAAAATCTTCACATGGATCCACCTAAATTTATGTTTCCATCGGCTGAGCATCAGACAAGCACTTGTTTCTAACGCATTCCGGACGAAAATGACTTTCATGCGGCTTGTAAATTCTTCTCTTGAAACGCAAAAATAGCATACATTATACGAAGTTATATGAAGTGGTAAAGTGATATAACGCACTAAGGATCTCTACGAGCCCAATGTTACCTGAATTTGGAATTCAGGTCAGGTTTCAAGCTTCTATTCTCAGATGAGTCACAAGAGTGATTATTAATTACCAGTTTTGCTTCGCCCGCTATCGCGCGCATCACACGGCAGGCTTTAGCGAAATTGGAGGACCCATGGAATATCAGCATGAGATACTCCATTAACCATCTCACTATTGACTGTGTTAGACCCTCCACAGTTTCACTGAAGCTCATCGAGAATACGCGTGATAACGTCTGAGCTGAACTGGTATATTGATCACAACTCTGTAAACATCCAGCATTTTTCTTGAATTAAGATAATTTAGCGGTGAATAGGATTACTGTCAATCTCAGAATTAAAACGAAATATGCCTATTTACATAAGTGAGGAGCTAAGGCTTATCATTTATTTACTTTTACCATTATTTAGAACCCTGAAAGGATTAGCGGTTTAATGAGTCTGGGCTTTCGTGATAGAAATGAAACTTATCATTTGCTGAACTTGATTGAATTTATGCAATCGACTGCTATTAAGTAAGCTGGATATATATCGAAATAATGTGCACGTACCTTTGTTTGTACTACTACGACTTACTACAATTTGTAAGTAGGAACGCTCTAGTGTCAACGCTGCGTAACGGAAATTGACGACTTTTGCGTTCTGGCGCGCCTTATCGGCCCTTATCAATCGTTATCAGTTTCTGGCACCCACCAACAATGTCCCCGTCCCACCCACATAACACTTGTAAGTATGGTTGCTCTGGTGTCAACGCGAGCCAGGCAACGGAATCGACGACTTTTGCGTTCTAGCGCATCTTATCAGCCCTTATCAGTTGCTATCGCTTCCAATCATGTACCACCAATGTCCCGGGACCGCCCCACATAACACTTGTAAGTATAGACGCTCTAGTACCAATATGAACGGACAAAACGAAATTGGCGATGCTCGCTTTCTAGCCCCTCTTATCAGCTATTATCAGTCGTTATCAGTTCCTATCACGTACCACTTGTGTCCCCATCCCACCCCCTATAACATATGTAAGAACCACTGCGCTATCGTTACTGTGACTCGAGCTATGAATTTCCGGTCAAACACACACACACACCAACAGACACACGCTAGCCGCTTATATATAGTAGGATTTATGGCCCATTTGATGTTCTATTATACCCCGAGAAACAATAGTTTGTAACAACAATCAGTACTTTTTACGGAACATTGGAAGCCTCCGTTGCTTGGCAAACTGGCCACCCTTCTTCCAATAGAGGGACACGTACATTTTCACCGGCTTCAAATAGTCACCACAAGCCCTAAAGGTGAAGCTCCTCGCCGCCGTTAACTTTTTGACGTGTCAACAGAGACTAGTTGCTCATTCCTAAGTGTCGGATAACGTCCTGCTTAAAAATATTGAGAGGACTGAATTTCACATTGCCTCCGCTCCCATTAATGAATCCAAACTTGTGCATTGAGCACCGTCATAATCAGTGTTGTTGCACGTCTGGATCCAAGATTATTGATTGCCAATAAATTCCATGCCACCTCCGAAAAACCCTCCTTACACTACATTGACGCGACAACGCGGATATATATCGCCGCGAACTTGCGGCCGGTCAGGACCGTGCGGGGGATATATCCCCCGCACCCATTACACTAATTTTTTTCGCGCACGCCTGGTTCTTCTAGAAGTTTCTTGTAATTATTGAATGGAGGAGACCTTGACCTAGCTAAAAACATAGTGGTCCATAGAATGGTCACGTATGCTTCAATTTGGAGGAGGATTTCTGAACCATACGAAATCTTCAGCCTAATAAATTTTTCGTTTACTTTTTCTTCCTATGAATGTGAAGGTTTAAATAGTAGTAGAAGTAGATACGGTACCTTAGAGATGACAATATATGTGTTTTGATTAAAATAATCAACTCAAAATTGCCTTTGAAGTTCATTGCAGCTTGTTCTAAAGAATATCACTTTTTCATTGTTATTCCATGTCTTTCAATAGAAATTCCGCTACTGTACCTCCGAGTAGGTTGTGCTCATTACAATATATTGATCTGGCCTTGTATTGATCATTATTTATGTTTTTATCACTCAAAATTTGCTTGAACGACCTGAGGCGGCGGCGCTCGCAAAACGCCGTGGTCCCACGTGGCCAAAAGTGCCAAAACTCGCGTTGTCGTCAACGTGTTAAGCACAATGACGAAGGTACGACGCGGTAACGCCTCCCACCCGGATCATCTCTTTTGCTAGTGCTCGCGTGACTTCTTCCTAAGTTGTTTGCGCTCATTCTATAGATCATACATCCATATAACTAGTAAACTATAACTATGGACGCACTACAGGGCGGAAGTGGTGTAGTGGCAAGTGGCACGCTTACCACGCGAGCGGTCCGGGGATCAAATCCTGGGTCGTGAGTCGCCCGGGCCAACCAAGCCTTCCATCCCTCCGGGGTCGGTTAATTGGTACCAGACTTGTCTGGGAGGATAAAAACACTGACTTGTACATCGGCTGGCCCCCGCAAGTCATTGTATAGGCCACATCGCATTCAAACGCCACTACGAATGTACAAATGGAAGTAGAATGCGTGCCGCATCCCAAAAGGGATTGATCAACGGCAAATGCTTTATCCTTTTCCTATGGATGCACTGGTCCATGGAATGGTAGATACGCTTCAGTTTAGCAAAGATTCCCTGAATCTAGCATAATTTCCATTTTCCATTTATTGCTCCACCTTTTTATGCGAGAAATAGAAAATAACAGAAGCGAATGAAATATATTGTTAAAGAAAATAATATAGAGCAAAATTTGTAAGTGTAGGGCCATTGAAAGTGGCAGGGTGAATATCGGTCGAAGAAATCCTCGAGGTGGTCGTATTTGCCTCGGTTGAAATGTGGGAGAAGGGACGTAATTGTCGGTACCAGGATCTAACG